TTTTTTTTTCTAGTCACAAAAGGAAGTTATGTTCTGATTCGGTAGTCCCTTTCTAACTATATTTGATAAATAAACCCACCAACAAATTTTAAATTTGTTTTGTTTAAAGAAACATCTACGATTTTTTTCAATAAAACTTAATGGAAAAGAGAGGGATGTATATTGTGTTCACAATAAACTAAAGGTAGACGATTATAATAAGTATGATGAGTAGTCAAAAAGTTTAACAACACACAAAAAATAATAATGTAATGGTATTTGACAAAGTAAAAATTAAAGAGTTATGTATTATCAATTCAAAAACAGAATAAAAGAAAAAATTCATTAAATAAAAACCAGACATTTTGTCATTATTAACAAGAAAAATAATTATTACAAAATCTAGTTTATTCAAATAAAATTAAAGGAGAGTTAAATTATCATTGAAAAAAATATTATATCAAGTGAAGCTTATTCTTAAATTTGAAGAAATTTTTAAAGAGGTTATTTAAAGTAAAGAAAAGTTTTATTTAAGTAGATTATATCTTATCTTATTCATGAAAAGAGTAAAGAGAATACTACAATAATACAAAAGAATTGTTTAAATTATAAAGAATGAAAGAAAATAAAAAAAAATAGAAAAAAAAACTAATAAAAATAGTAAGAAAATGGAAAGTGATAAAGACTTACAAATATCTTCTATTCAGCTTGAACCTAATGAAAATGAAGAGAAAACAAAAGAAGATAATGAAAATGAAGAACATGAAAGTATTGAAATTGATAAATATAGTAATATTAAAGAAAATGCTGTATTTAAAATGGCTGATAATATTATTGAAGAGGTTCAAGATGAAGGTATTGAAGTAACTGAAGAACAAACATTACAAGATATGATTTTTATGTTACAAGGAATTCCACCATTACATTTATTAAAAAATAATAAATTTCCTCCATTAACACAAGAGGTTGTTCCATTACTTTCTGAAGTATCAAAATTATTAATTAAATTGAATAACAAAAGAGTTTTTTTTAATCCACAAAGTTTTGTACAACGTTCAGTATGTTGTACAGCGAATGATATTATTAGTGAATATTATCAATACATTGCACACATTGATTCAGAGTTACATCATTCTGAAATGATTACAATTCTTGATATGTATCGTCATGGATTATGGTGTAAAGATATTATCATTACATTAACTGATATTATAGATCAATGTATGTTAGTTAAAGGAGGTCAATTATTAACATACCTTGATGAACAAACACATTCTCCATATCAAACAAGAAAAAAGATATGTATAAGAATGTTACAGAATGGTACAATACCAATTTATAATATGATATATGATTGGGTTCTTCAAGGAACTTTTAATGACCCTTTTCATGACTTTTTCTTAACATTAAAATCTACACCATCATTACTTGAAACAACTTATTTACAAAATCAATTAGTTCCTTCTTTTCTTAATTCTTATAAAAATGATATTAAATTTGTTGGTGAAGCAACTACTTTCTTACAAAAAGAAGGTGAAGATATTTCTGATTTAATTTCAATAATTGAATCAAATAAAAATGAATTCACTATTTCATCATCAACTTTACCATCATTAATTCATTCTTTAAATACATTGGCACACCAAAAAGCAGTAAAATTATTAACAGAAAAATATACACCATTAATACATACTCAAAATATTAAACAATATATATTACTCTTTAGAGGAGATTTTGCAAATACATTTATTGACTCTTTGTCTCAAGCTTTAGTTAACGGTCCATTAAGTCAAGTTGATTTAAATTCATATTTTCATGCAGCATTAGCTGTGACAAATACAATCCCTGAACGTCTTCATTGTATATGTAAAGGTCAAGAAGTTAATCAAATAGAAACAGATATTTTACTTCATTATGAACTTCCTGAACCATTACAATTAATTATTACTGATAACCATATTCAAAAATATAATGAAATTTTTAAGTTTCTTTGGAAAATTAAATGTATGTCAATTTCTATTGATAAAGCATATCGTAATATGTTTCCATTTTTTATTTTGGCTTCTCAAATAAATGGACTTCCATTATTTTTACATCATTTTAGAATTAAATTTGGAGAATGTGCAAAATTTATGGATGCTTTAGAAGAATATGCGTATGTACATATGAAAGAATGTTATGTTCATTTTGAAGATGCATGGAAATCTGCTGTAGATCTTTATGGATTATCATCTATTCATGGAGCATATGTCGAAGAAATATGTAAAGTATTATATATAAGTAATGATAAAGTAAATACTATTTTAAATTCTATCATTGGATTTATTTCTAATGCTGTAGAAAAATTAAATGCATTTATTGCTATCATTTCTGATGAAATTTATCGTCAACAATTTAATAAACAACACATTTCTCAATTTTTATCGACTTTAAAAGAAATGGAAGATCGTGTTAATCTTGAATTAGATAATTATAAAGCTTATTATAATCAATTTATAATGGCAATAGCTTCTGCTGATAATAAACAAACCCGTTTCTTATTACGAAGACTTAATCCAGAACGTTATAATCCACCTGAAATTTCTGAAATTGTTGCAATGGATGAAATGGTTTAATTAATAGTTTTAAAATAGTTTAATTTTTTTAATTTTCACAAAAAAAAAAACTATTTGTATAATAAAACTATAAATAATAGTAAAAAAATTATTAAAGAATAGTAAAATGGAGGAGAAAGAAAAGTGATAAATTACCCAAGGAAATTGGCAACAGAAAGTTGTAAAAGAATCACACAAAACACATATTCAACGAAGTATTTTTTAGATGAACCTTCTTCACTTTCATGAAGCCTTAGAGACATTGTAAAGACAAACATACCTGCACATGAAAATAATGCAGCAAGAAAAGCATTTAATGGATTATGACAGAAGAAAAATCCATAAACTAATACAAGTGCAGCTGTTATTAATTGATAAATAAGGAAACAATCAATCATCTTTAATCGAGAAGGAGTTTCTTTAGAATAGCTTGTTAATAATACTTTAATAAAAGACTCTTCTTGTTCTTCTCCTTTCTTTTCTATATGAGTAGTTCCTTTTTTACTCATTTGATTTATTTTTTGTATTTTTTTTCAGTTTCAATTTTTTGTTTTTTATAATTTTTTTAAATTTAAAATTTTTAAAAAATAATTTTTTTAGAAGATAAAAATAGAAAGAGTCTAAAAAAGAAAAAGATGAAAAAGAAACACAGAAATATAGAAATAAAATATTAATTACTTTGGAATATATTTTATTGCTATTGTTGAATGAGGATTATAAGTAATAATCTTTGAATCAAATGGAAGAATAAAAGAAATAGAATTTAATTTATGAGTTAAAGAGTCTAATTTTAATTGAATATAATTTTCTGGAGAAGATAATTGAATAAAAACAATTCCACCAATTGACTGTTTTATATAATAAGAAATAATAATTGATGGATTATATTTTTTTAATTCTTTAAGAACTGAATGAATTGTATTATTAAATGAAGCAGCAAAAACAGAAGAAGAATTTATATGAATTTGTTTTTGATAGAATGAAAGATAACAATTTTGTAATTGAATTAATTGACTGTCAAATCTTCTAGTTAAATTTAAGAAAGGAAGGAAAGGAGATATTATAGATAAATTAGAATTGAAAAGAAAAGAATTATTTGATTTAAAGAAAGAAGGATTAATAGAAATTAATTGTGAATAATCAAAAGAAATATAAAAGTGAAGAAAATGGATGAAAAGATTCTTTAAAGAAATAGAGTCCCAAATGAATCTATATTTAGAAAAGCAATAATAACAATCATACCATATTACATTTTGTTTATCACATAAAGATGAATATTTATGAATTATATGTTGTTTTGTACATTCTTTTTTTATATCATTTTCATTTTGTAATTCAGGTAAATAATCATTTTGAATAAGAAAATTAATAACTAATAATATAATTGTAAAACTATTAAACATTCCATTTTTTGGATTAATTAATTTATTTTCTTTATGAAATTGTTTAATAAAATAAATGAAACTTCTAATTTTTGGATGAATTGAATAATAAGTTTTAATTAATTCACTGTTATACCAACCTTCATAATTATTAATTGAAATATCAATTTCATATCCTTTTATTTTACAATTAATAATAGGAACTAATGCTTTGTCTATTATTTGAATATTTGTAATATTTTTATTTAAATCGTTTGAAGTATTATTTAATATTTTAAATAATTGATAAATAATTGAAATATTATTATTTTTATTTATATTATAATATTGTTTAATTATTTCATCATTATTATCATTTTGATTGTATTTAAATAACTTAGGTTTGTCAGTTGTTAATATTGTTATATCAATATCTGATTTCCCATCAAAAAAATCAAAATATGATGATCCATATGGAACAATTTCTCCTTCTATTTTAATTATTTTATTCAATTCTTTAATAATTCCTTCAATAGGTATTCTTCTCATATTATTTTTTAAATAATTACTTTCAATACTTTCTTTTTCTGTTTTAATTACTTTCTTATATTTTTGAAAAGATTCATTTGAATTGATTTCAATAAGTCGTTGAAAAAATTCATTAAATTGTTCTTCTTCTCCCATGTTTTATCTTTTATATTTTATTGTTTGTTTTTCTGTTTTTCTTTTTGTTTTTTTTTTAATTTTTTTGTTATATTTAATATTTTGATATAGAATTTTTATTTTCATTTCATTTTTTAGAAAGAGGCATTTTGGCATCAAAATAAATTTTAAAGTCATTTGGTATTTGCTTTAGGTTGTTTTAATTACGTATAATAGAAAATAGTAGATAAATCAATTATTATTTTTAATAAAAATTTATTTGAAAGAGTCTTAAAAAGATTTTTTAGAAAAGAATGATTTAAAAAAAATAATATGAACTTAAAATAATTACAATGGAAGAACCTAAAAGAGAATTTCACTTTATCACACAGAAACGAACAATATTAACACTTCCACAACGAGACTTTTCAAGTCAATTTGTTAATGCAAGGAATGGGTATAGAACAGTTGAACATCAACGAACAGAAAAGATAAGTGGAATAATTAAACAAATAATTACAACAAAACAAATACCACAAAAAAGTGAATGGAGTTTTTCAGTTCAAACGTGTGGTAATTGTGGAGGAACAGTTATTGGAGGAATAACATGTTGTGCATGTGGAATATATATTTGTTCAAATTGTAGACGAACTTATACAATTGATAATGGGAATTATGATATTACATTATGTATGTTATGTTCAGAATGTTTTGAACGAATGGAACAAACGAATTGGTTTGAACAAAAAATTAAAGAAGGAGAAGATAAAGAAGTAGTTTTAATACATTTAAAAGTAACAAAAACATTATTATTATTTGATGAAACATTTAGAACAATGAAAGCATTTGAAGGAGTAGAAGGATTAAATGATGAAAATTTTTTAAAAGAATGTAAAGAAAGATTAAGAGAATTTCAAATTGTTTTAAAAAAAGTAAATGAATTAAAAGAATTGATGAAAAATTTTATAAGTAAATCAGAAGCAGAAAAAAGAATTATACAAAATTTGTTTTATATTTGGTCAATGTTTAATAAAGAAAAAGTTCTTAAAGCAATTACTTTTGCTCAATTATTTTCTAAAGAAATCGAAATTGATGAAAAAAAATTAGAAGAAATTAAAGATAGAAATAAACAATTTGAAATTATTGAATTAGAAAATACTGTTATTTCATCTAATGGTGGTGTTCTTAAAATTATTGCAGAAAATATTGATCCTGCAATGAAAGTTATTATTAATGGAATCGATTCAATTCCTACTTTTTATAAAAACTTTATTTATCTTCAAATTCCTAAACAAACAACTTCTAAACCTGATATTAATATTCAATTCATTACAAAATATGGAAATGTTCAACTCTTTAATACTATTTTTTATGATAACATTAAACATTCTTCTTTGTCTTTAAATAATATTAATTCTTCTTCTTCTTCTAAACTATCTTCTGTTAATATTAATAATAATTTGAATGTTCAAACTCAATTAAAATCTCTTGACAATAAAGACAGTTTTAACTGGGTTAAAACTAATTTCTTCAAAAAGTTTAAACAAAATGATGATACTCAAAATGAACTTTCTCTTCCTTCTATTAAATCAAAAGTTAATCTCTCAAATAATTTAAATAATAATATGATTGAATCTTTGGAAGATGAAAATAAAAAAGAAATAAAAGACAATGAATTTAAACAACAAGACGAAAAAAAGAAATTATTTGTATTTGAAGATTGTTCAAGTGAATCAAATGATGAAAATAATGTTAATGACAAAAAAGAAGAAAGTACTGAAGATGATGAAAGTAGTGAGGAAGATGATGGAGATGAAGAAATTCTTTTTGTTAAAAAACCTGACCAACAAGTTGAAGAACAAAAAAAAGAAAATAATTTTCCAAAAATTCAAGATGATCAAAGTTCAATACAGGAATTTAATATTAATACAAACACTAATGGATGGAAATCCATTAATGACTTAGATGATTTTGAAATATTAGACATTGACTCAATGGATATTAAAATGGAAATATTAAGTTTATCTCCAAGTGCGTTTTCTACTAAAGGAGGACAATTAACAATAAAAGGAAAAAATTTTGGTAATCAACCAATTGTATTTGTTAGAAATAAGAAAGTAGATGATAAAAAAGTTCTTTCAAAATCTCCTACTAAAATTATTATTATATTACCACCTTTAACTGTTGGAATTGTTACAATAAGAGTAGAAAATGAATTTGGTCAATCAGATAGTTGTGTTGATGCTGTTAGGGTATTTGACAATCTCCCTACTCCACAATAATATAATTGCATAATATAGTTTTTTATTTTTACTTTATATTTTTTTATCTCAATTCTTTAATTTAATGTTTAACTAATCAAATGTCTATTCGTATTTTTTTCATTCTCCCTTTGGATTTAATAAAGTTGTAAATTTCTTCTTTTTGTTTATTCTCTTAAGAAGTACTAAAGACTTTGATAAAATATATTCTTATTTTTATTTACGTTTTATTCAACATGGAGATCGAAGGTGGCACGTCTGAAACAC